TAATTTTTTAAGTGAAGCTCACAGAGGTTAACTGTATTCAAGCTGCATCTTTTGGTGTGCATGTTAACCGCTGAAACAAATGCACCCATTGTGCTGCTGTCTGTAAGGAACAGAAGGTGAACTTAAACCATGCAAAGGAGCCCCAGTCCAATTTCCTGAAGGCTCATAGAGATCCTAGACCTGCTGATAGCCACCTGCCAGGATTTTCAGACTTACAGTGGGTGATCAGCTCCCACCGATCTAAAACAAAGAAAACACCCAAAGAAGTGAAAAATAGCTCATCTCACCTGGTCCTGCTTGCTGTCACCTGGGTGGTGATTACCATGATTACACTAATGCGCTTACATGGCCTTGAAAGCAAATACACAGGATGCTGCTGCTGCTTTTATCTCCAGTGCTGGGAGGAGCCATGAAAACATCTCATGTAGCATCAGCAAAGTGTCCCTGGCCAAGCCCCAGCCTGGGACAGCATCTTGGCCGGTTTGGGCCACTCCACTTATGGGTGTTCTGACAGAGCCAGGAGTTTTATGGAGCTATGGCGTGAGAGTGGGGCTGTGATTGCAGGTGGGTCCCATTTGCACGTTGGACTGGCTGGCATCACATAGTTCATTTAATGTAAAGCAGCTTGAGGGCTGCTCTATGTTATGCCAAAGACATAGGCAAGAGCAAGCCTACATTTCTTGGAGAGGAAAAAAGGACTTCTTCAGGCTACTTTTGCACCCTGAATTTGGGGCATGTAATCCTCTACTGTAGCCACAGAGTGGGGCCATTGTCTTTGGGAGCATATGAAGAGCCACGGATGTGAAAAGGCCATTCAGCTGGGGAAGCAGCTGGCCTGTAAATCACAATGTTTCCTTAGACAACCGTAACAGATGCAGGGAAAACAGTCCTGTCAAGAAGAATGGGAGGTATACGGACTTCGTAAATAACCTTCCCATGCAGATGTCTTTCCCAGTGATCTCACTGAAAAAAAAAAAGACTCTGAAGGAAAAAAAGCTCAAGTACAGCGGAGCATGATGCTCCATGGGGATTCAGCCTTGCCAGAATACCACAGGGTTAGAGAATGAAAGAGCAGGGCAAACAAGCTGCATGGAAGAGGAGTAAGAATTTTTCCCAACTTAAAAGATATCTGTAGGAAAAACAGACAAGACTTTAAGTTTACAGAGACAAAACTTTCAGGTGAGCTGGCAGACAGAGAAGGGCTGAAAGGAGAAAATTAATTCAATGAAGTAAACTTTCCACAGAGTTGAAGAGTTGTTGAGTGAAGAGCATGACACTGTTTCAAGAAGGGAATGGGAATAATTCAGTAATGTTGAGGATAGGCAAATATGATGGGTTAACCTGACACTAGGGCCAGGGTGTCCAGCAATGCAAAGAGAGTCTAATCTTAGATACAGAGGTGGCTACAGCCTTCACCAGGTACTCTTTGATTAAATACACTTAAATGGACTGTATTTGTTGAACTAAAGCAAAATATTTTTTCTGCGTGATCCAGAAACTCCTTCCGTTCTTTCCTTATCCATGCTTTATTGGTATTTTTCTTTCTGTAGATTTCCAGGTATACTTTGCAACTACCTGAAGCCATGCAGCCTTGGAGTCATATATCACTGAAGCTAATGGCACTGTTGCAGTCAGAGGGATTAGTAAAAACAAAAGGGGTCCAGGGCAAAAGCTGACTGTGAAATATGAACCCACTCCACAAAAAGGCAGTGGAAAAACTGGAAAAGCACATGGCTGCAGGCAGAAGGACGAATAGAGCAGCTCTTTAGTAACAAGTTATTGAACAAATCACCCCCTAGTAAAGGTACTGTTTACTCAGCTCCAGAGATGAGAGAACACATGAGGAGGAGACAGCAAGCTAGAAGCTGCTGAGTTTTTGCATTGACATGAATCACAGAATCACAGCATGGATAGGGGACCTCTGAGGATCATCTGGTCCAGCCCTCCTGCCCAAAGCAGGGTCAGCTGCAGGCAGGTTGCCCAGGTCAACACATGGAGACTCCACAGCCTCTCTGGGCAACCTGTGCCTGTGTTTGACCACCCTCAGAGTAAAATGTTTTCTTGTGTTCAGATAGAATTTCATGTGTTTCAGTTTGTGCCCATTGCCTCTTGTCCTGTCCCTGGGCACTACTGAGAAGAGCCTGGCTCCCTCTTCTTCCTCCCTCCCATGAGGTATTTATACACATTGATGAGATCCTCCTGAGCCTTCTCTAGACTAAACAGTCCCAGCTCTCTCAGCCTCTCCTCATATGAGAGATACTCTAGTGCCTTAATAATCTTGGTAGCTCTGCACCGGAGTCACTCTAGTAGCTCCACATCTCTCATACTGGGGAGCCTAGAACTGAATACAGCAATCCAGGTGTCCCACCAGCGCTGAGCAGGGGGAAGGATCACCTCCCTCCACCTGCTGACAGTGCTTCTCCTAATGCAGCTCAGGATGCTCTTGGCCTCCTTTGCAACAAGAGTATGTTAATGGCCCACGGTCAACTTGTTGTCCACCAGGACCCCCAGGTCGTTCTCTGCAGAGCTGTTTTACAGCTGATCAGCCCCCAGCTTGTCCCAGTGCCTGGGGTTATTCCTTCCCAGGTGCAGCACTTTGCATTTTCCGTTGCTGAACTTCATGAGATTCCTCTCTGCCCACTACTCCAGCCTCTCCAGGTCCATTTGGTTTGTGAGTGACAGAAAGAGGGGCAGACAGAGAGAGGGAGAGGGAGAAAACACAGAAATTTGATGAAAATTAAGAATCTAATCTGTTTTTCAATTTACCATGGTGGAAAATCTCTGCAACTCTAGCTTGAGTTAACTCAAGCTCAGGTTCTCAAGTTGTTGTTTTGTTCTTTTTTTTCTTTTTTTTTTTTTTCCTGAAGAACTAGTACTCAGTAATCCTCGAAAATGCCATGGTGCTTTTTGCCTGTGGCTTCTCCTGATGCTATTCTGTTGGATCCAACTTGTTTCTACTCAAATCTGTCCTGATGAGAACAGGTGCAACTCAGCTGAAATCATGATGACTGTATATAGTCCCATATGTCACTGCAGAGTGGAAAAAAAATTAGTAGCATCTAGTAAAGTACAAAGCAAAATCAAATGTGTGGTTTCAGTTACCACTGCTACTTTGTGCAGTCTGAAAAATACTTTTTGCTCTTGTGAAGTCTGACAACAGCTCATTGAACAAGGCCAATGCGTTTTCAACAGTCTGTATTTAATATTAAATGTCTCTATATCCGCAAGCATAAACTAGTAATGGGAAACATATCACTGGGAACAAATATGCATCTCAACCTGTGGTCTCATCTCTGGTTTTGATTAAATTCCTGCATTTGCAGCAAAGGAAGCAACAAATTTACAACTTTGTAGGTAAGAGAAGATAGTTGAACAGTTGCTCCGTCTTGATTTACAGTTCATTTTTATCTACCAGTCAACACACAGATACATTCTGTTACAGGTTTGGGATTTGGAAGAGCTTTCAGAAAGGAAATAATGTTTCCTGATCCCTTTTAAATAGTTAACTCTTTTCTCGAGGCCTGTCATCAATTACAGTGAAAAGTGACTTACAAGAAATTTTTGTCTAGATGAATAAAATATTCCAGAGACTAAATATATTCTTAAAACCAGTTTGGCTCAGAGAATGTGCAGGCTTAAGTTCTTTATTAGTCAGCAAGTTCTTTGACCTTTGTAAGGAGCTAATCACCACCGTAAGTCATTACCACTTACCATACTGTAGGTTCACTTTTAAAAATTGAAAACACCAACTCCAGCATCATCTATATGTTGTTTGGCACTGAACAGCTGCGTTTCTAATGATTGTATTTACATCGGGCTTTCCACATTTCTCTTTTAAAGCCTGTGTAGTTAATGGCAGAATGTGTCTTGTTGATGAACGCATTGACAGCTCGGCAGGAGGGTATTTGTAACAAATCTGATCGGGAGGTCTTCTGCAGCTCCCCAACCCGTCGGCCTGCTGGGCAGTAGCGCCGTGCACGGGGAGAGCAGTCGCCCTGCGCTCCTGCTGAGACCGGCCCATCGCACGGACCTACGCGTACTGTTATGCCAGCAACAGAAACGGCAGTGACATTTCCATACCCTTCCTTGGGTCTCTCCAGTGACTTGGATCCTGCCATGAGAGCAAAATTTGCATGGACTTGAGCGGCAGGACCGGGCTGTGCTCACATAGTGCAGTAAGGACAGCAAGGAATCGCACCACACAATGCGGGGCTGCAATCCTAACAGGTCACACTTGGCATTTGGAATCATTTCTTTGGTCGTTTGGCTTGATTTAATTCCCAGCTGACCACAGGATCCTGTTCACAATGCTGCTAATTCTTTTACTGCAGAAATTGAGTGCTGGGTTACATTTTGGGCAGGGGGAAATCATAACGCAGACTATGGCATCGCAAAGAGGAGTGAAATCGTGACAGATCATCCATTTCTCACCCCCTCATCTCTGGCCTCTCCTTATGCTGATGGAGAAAAGGGGCAGGGCCACTGCCTTTTTCCTTCCCGTCTCTTCCTACCCTCTGCAGGTACACTTTGCACCTCCTGAGTGTCAGAGCACAGGTCTGCCTGGCCATCACGCAGATCCTCGTGTCCCCCCTCCACCCCAGTGTGCATTTGTGAAATTACAGGACAAAATCTGGCCCAGAAAGTCCTCACCACTACAATCAATTTCTGTCCCCACTGGCCCTGCTTACGTGAGTACAAACATCTTGTGCCTAAAGGACAGTTCCAGGAGCTATTCAGTTGCCAGCTATGGTTGTTGTATGCAGATCTTTTACAAGAAACCAGTGGTTTGTACTGGTATCCATCAAGAATAAGCTACAGGATCAGTGAAGGATGCAAAGGAGTTGTGTGATATATATGATTCAGCAGCAAAAGCTGCCCCCTGGAGGAACAAGTCATTAGGCAAATTAGATGCAACGGGGTCCAAAAATACCTCCACACATTCAGCAGTGAGCATCGTTATTGTAGTCACTTTACTAAGTTAACCAAAGAGATTCAAAAAACTGAAATACAGAGGCTTTGTACAGAATGAGTTGGGAGTACAAATAAATGAAAGTAACATTCTTCAAGAAATGGATTTTAGTTGTGTTTTATAAACATCAATAAATACTGAAAAAGATGTGAAAATTAAAAAAGAAACATTACCAACAACTGTAATTGTCCCAAGGACTATATTTATAATTTAAGCTGATTTTTGATACTTTTGCAATAGGGATTTCCTCCAGAAGTCGTTATCTAATTAAAAAAGGAAAAATAAAAGTAGTCAGCATATTACTGATACAAAACCAGGGAAGAGTTCACAACTAGAGCAGAAAAATGACACATCCAGTTAGAACCATATCACAATTTGGCAGGAATACTCTTAATGAACACCGTGTATGTGTGAGAAAAAGACAGCATCACTATTACAGGCATGAAACGATGATCAAGTGTCATTATCCGTTGTCCAAAATGAAAAGGAACATTAGTAAAAGGGGAAATGAAGACTGGAAAAGGGAAGAACAAAAAACCCTAAGGAAACTTTAAAAGCCACCTCTTCATAATAGTCTTCTAAGGCAAATGTTGCATGCATTACCTCCCCAAGAAACTAGACAAAGCTCTTCCATTACTCGTGCATTTCCTTTCATTTAGTTTCATGAAGAAAGGTTTGAGAGAGCAGAGCGCTGGGAAGAAATACTACAAACCTCTAAATTAGTGAAAGAACTTCCAGCATCACTGTTATATTCTGGGTAGGAGGAACTGGAAGAAATTATGTTTTTCAGCCTCTGAAGTGCAATGATCAACAGCAAAAGGAGAAAAGCTAAGAGACTAAGGAATATAGAAACATAGACATAGACGTTGGATAAACGGCCAGGCGATGAATCCACTGAAGTTGAAAGGGATGTGGGATACAGCTCCAGAAAAGTCCCATTTTCCATGTTTCCTACAAATCCAGATGAAGGATCGGGTTCTGACATTTTTGGATTTGTGTTTTAAAAATCACAACAGATCTTGGATTCAAAGGCAGTTTTAGCAGCATAACAAAGGGTTCATTTTAGGCGACCATTTTTCCATCACAACGAAGAGATGACAAGTCACCCCGTGATCAAATTTATCCTTTACTGCTCAAGCGCAGGACAATGTAAGATTGTATCCTTCAGAACTGCAAGAAAGGGGAAAAAAAAACAGGCAAAAGTAATTCAGTAGCAGATTAAATATGATTTAATGTGCGCCTGAGACAACCTAGTTCTTCAGAGTTACAAGTTATTACTCCTTAGCACTAAGCTGCAATTCTTAAAGCATTAGCTAACAACTATCTTTATATCTCTATTTTCCAAAATGCAGGGATTAGGAGAAATCCTGCCCATCAATGAATTAAAATTGACCCTTCCCCACCATGAGTTGTTTAACTGAGGAACGGCACAATAAAAAATGTACTTTATACAGAACAGACATATTGGAATCCAAATTTGTCTTGTGGATAAAAGCTAGTCAAAGAACGAAAAATCCCTCTCAAGACTTCAGCTCCCCAACCTAGAGCAAGGCTGCTCAACACCGCAATGGATGACAAATCCACTACCATCAGCCACTAACTCCATACTGCCTTGCCAGAGGTGTTCAGAATGAGAAAATCTGCCAGACCTGCATTCTTACTATATATTTATGAAATGGATCAAATGGTTTCCAAGATCAAAATGCATCTTGCTCTAATGCTGCCACGGGGATCTCAATGGCAGGCATGTTTCAGTGAAGTGTTGCAGCTTCTGACACCTACAGGCAAAATCCCGAGGGAACGGGCAGCCCTGGCAGCTCAGCAAACGCGAGGGGACTATCTAAGGGCGGTGAATGCTAATGGGGAAGAGATCTCATCTTTGAAAAAGCTTTGCCTCCAGCCACTTTGTGTTGGAACCTGGAAGCTCAGGTCCTGGCAAAGGTCAGAGTAGCACAGGACGAGCAGATCAGGGTATGCTAAGCTGCTTTTCTTTAAACTGACCTAGTCAGTCCCTAGGTGCAGTCTGGTAGTGTAAGAGAAGGCTTGGTGATGAGGAATTGCTTGTACAAAGCTGACGTGCTGTAGCTGAATTACATGGCGTAAACCCATTGCCTTTGTTTTGATACAAAACAGATAATGCAAGGTGCAGGCGGGTAGGAAAGGAAGCTCATTTTCTGCATATAATCATCCACATGCAATCTTTCTATCCGTCCATCCATGGTCAACCTCTCACTGCAGATACTCAGGCACTACAGGGAAAGGCGGCGAGCTTTCCTCCCATTAGGAAGACAATACCCATACAGAACTACCTTTCCAGCGTGGTCCCTCTCATCTTGACCTTGCTTTTGGCCTCATCCTGTGGTCCCAGTTCAATACAATTATCTCTAATTCACAGTTAGAGGCTTTGAGGAAAACTCCACTGATTTTCATGGTGACAGAGAGAGCAAACATTGTCAGCATCAGCCAGAGAGAGAATCAGGCCCTTAATGTAATGATGCGACAGTCTGGGGTCTCTCCTTCTGTGTGTGACACAACTGCCCAAGTATCTTTGAGTTTCCATGAAAGTGTCCCAGCACTGTTCCTGGCAATGCTCTGCCTTATATTTTTTCTTTTAAACATGCTACCTCTGCTAACTTAGTAAAGTACCTCTTTCTTCAAGAGGCCGACACTTTTTGACACTAGGTGTGACCACAGAAGCCCCAACCTGAACTAAAGATGCTTAAGAAGGATAAGGTACTTTTCTGCTGGTGGTGTTTCTTCTCTGAGAACACAGAAGCCTTGGAGACACCCACTGAAAATGCTAAGAAGTTTGCTTTGCAGTCACTGAAGTTATTTGCATAGCTACCCACTGTACTTTTGCACTGTAAGTTAAATTTAGGAGGTTATGCTATATGCCATAAAAAGCCCTAAGTGCCTGAGGAAACAAGGACTACATTTAGCAGTAGGTAGGATCTAATTCTACGTTTTTAAACCCTATTTTATTTTCTATACCTCAGAACTACATCTATACTACTACATAAAACAGGTCAAGGCTATTCTCTGGTCTCGGGCACAACTTGTGTGCATGCTGCATCAAGATGGCTAAACTCCCTTTTATCCCCATGGACAGGATGGCCAAATCACAGCTGCCTTTGGGAATGAATGATGGCCAATCCTAACCCCAAATATGTCCAGGCATTGCTTGGAGGGCGTTAGCTGACCAAAAACATGCCAAGAGGTGTGCTTGCTAATTCAACAGGAGAGATGATGACAGGCCTATGCCCTGGCCTGGATTAATTTACTAGTACATACACATCCATGTTTTCATGGATAAAAGGTTACATTCCAGATGTTGTTTTATTGTTTATTTATTGCATTTATTGTTTTATTGCGGAGCTTTTGCTAGTCTTAACCAAGCAACCTGATAGCCTACAAGATACAGGGCCTGTTGTGACAGGACAAGGGGGAATGGCTTTAAACTAAAGGGGGGTAGATTTAGACTAGATAGAAGGAAGAAATTGTTTATGCTGAGGGTGGTGAAACACTGGAACAGGTTGCCCAGAGGGGTGGTGGCTGTCCCATCCCTGGAAACATTCAAGGTCAGGTTGGACAGGGCTCTGAGCAACCTGATCTAGTTGAAGATGTCCCTGCCCACAGCAGGGGGGTTGGACTAGATGGCCTTTAGAGGTCCCTTCCAACCCAAACCATTCTATGATTCTATATGCAGGAGTACAAAACTGCATCTACAAATACCAGATAAAAATATTCTTACCCTTGTGGTATATAACTCATACTAATGCATAAAATATACTAAACCAAAACCATTTTATAACCCTAATAGTATTTAGCCCCACAAGAAACAGTATTTATTGTACCTTGTAAAATAAGTCACAACAGACTGAACAAAGAGAGATCCTTATAAGATTATACTCCTTTTGAACTGTCTTTAATTTAGTGATCCAAAATTGACTAATGGAACCATACGTGTTCATTTCATGTTCTGGAAGTAGTTAAGTGTGTTATAGCTAATTTATCCTTTTTAAGAGATAAGCTTTGATACAGAAGATGTTTATCCTTGATTACTCGTCATAATGAAAAGCAGATCCATTATTAATTGAATTTCTTTGTAATAACTTAAGGAATTAATTCACATATATTCTTTAACATGGAAGAAGTTAAAAGCCTTTAAATTCTTCACAAATTTGAAATCCGCTATGTTCTACTTTTACCATTAACAGTTTTGGTCCTGGTACAAGGAAGAGCTTTGGCATAGGACTTTGAAGTTAGTGGAAAATTTATGGTCTTAAATAGGACTAATCAGAACCTCACAGTTAAGCCGAGATGTGAGTGCTTTGCTAGATCAGAGCCTTTATAGGTCTTACAATGTCAACTGGGCTATTTTTAACTGAGTATTTTGTAGTGAGATCAGAGGCACTGTAAACTGATTCCAAATGACTGTGGCCCAGATCCTAGTTGCCTCACTCACACTGTGTAGTGATGTGACTTGTAAATGAATCTCATCATAAAATGTAGCTTCAGCTAAAGTGGCTCTTTGGGTAATATTTTAGGAAGAAAAAAAGATCTGTGTGGTTTTAATCACACATTCAAAAATATGGACCTAAAGTGTAAAGTCCTACTCAGTCTAAAAGAATTTTTACCAACCACCTGTACCCTGTTGGAGTAAAACAGCAAAATCCTATGGAGTGTGAACATATCTGGTCCTGACATCTGAGTAGTATTCATAGTAAAGGTACAAAAAGTGTAGGGAAATAAAATGGATCAGATCCTGATCCCTGACGATGTTCCCTGGTGCTGTTCCAGCATTGCAATCCTGCTGGAGAGCAGCCAGGCTGGCTCAGCCAGCGACGTGGGGCAGGGGTGCAAACACTGTTCTGGACCGACGTGTGGCTACACAGTCCTAGGGCTACACAAACCTCTGCCACGCCGCAGATCAGACCTCCCAGCCTTCAAGAGGGGGATCCACAAGCAGTTTTATTTAGTGCACCACAGCTACTGCTTCAGCTCAGGTTCCTGCTTCTGCCGGGAGAAGAAGGTAAGTGGCATAACCATTTGTCTCTCTTACCCTAATCCTCCCAAAGGAATAACCCCCAATAAAGCCAGATGTCAGCTTCACCTTCTTGTTTGGTAATTGGTTTTGTGCATTTCTCAAAACTAAATAGAACAACGTCAAAACATCAAGCCCCAACCTGGTCCCAAAAAATGATTGGGAATTTTGTCACTGACTTCAAAGTATAATGGTAAAATTGAAAGTGGCTGACTGCAATAAACCTGTTGTCTTTCCAAGAGCCATAAATCCATCAAGGAATACAGCTAAGGAACCAAAGTTTTCAAATTCTGTAGTGGTCCCTACTTTTTCCTCGTCTATTGTTGGAAAGTTGTTTTGGTTTAAGGCAAAGACTTAATTTAAAGTGCTATTGCTGAATGACTGGAGATGGAGAGGAGCTCTGACAGGAGAAGGCTTCCCGAATAACCAGTCCTGAAAACTCCTGGGACAGGAGAACGGGGACCTGTCTGCTAGGGGACTCGGATTTTGTGGTGTAGCTGGTTCCAGTTTACTTTCTCAGAGGCACCTCTGCAATCCCAGGACAGGGATGCATGGCTTGAGGAGGCTCTCTGAGTCATCGGGTCCAGCCCCACCGCTGAAAATCCCACGCCATACTCTGCCTTTCCGACATCGGCTGAGTTTTCCCGCTGCTGTTACTCCACTATTACACAGCCTTGCTGCTCTGATGGGCAAACTTAGATAGATTCATGCATTTCAGTAAAACAACTCACTGTACCAAGAAGGCACAGACTTCACCTCCATGCTCTACTGGTTTTAGATGTACAAGAGAGCAAAACCTTGTTCTGCTACTTTAGTCCCCAAATATGAGGGCTGGCACACAAGGAAAGGCTCTGCTAGACACATGGTATCATTTGTACATCCTCGCTTTTCAACCAGAACCACTAAGTATTTTCCTCCAGCCGTGCATTGCTCCTCCATTC